GAAGTCGATATCGATTTTAATCGATTGCTTGGAAACGGAGTAAGTTATCGATTATAAGAAACAAACTCGATCTGCGCAGGCACTAGGTGCACCTACATATAAAATTTAAAGTCTCTAGCTTTTATAGGTTCTGAGATTCTTGTGTTCATACATACGGACAGACGTACATGGCTGGATCGACTCGGCTATTGGTGCTAATCATGAATATATATACTTTATTTTATCACGATTAACATATAAAACAAAAACAATACACCATTCTCCCAACTGTGCACGCATTTTATCGCAAGGATCTCACTGCATAGCTCGTGTGCGAGTGCCTTGCGATGCAAATATATCCCCCTCGTTTTCTGCTCACATGCGAGCCCATTTGTGAGCACTTTGCGAGACTAAAGGCTCGCGTGTTGGTCCGCTGGGTAAATATATTCTATACATATATAACCACATAAATATAACATTTTTAGGTAAAACATTTATAACCTTCAAAAATGTTCTTTTATTCAAAAATAAAAAAATAAAAAATAAAATTGGTAAAACCCTTTAATTATTATTAAATTGAATAATACACTTACATATTTATATTTTAAATGAAAAAGAAATACATATAAAATATGGCCCGATCAGCCAAAACAAAACAAAAAAATAAATGTATATTTATTTATAAACAATTTGTAAAAATAACTACATTATATTACGTTGTTCCTCTAAAAAGGGAGGTTTAGTGTGTATATGCCTTAAAAGGACACCCTATATACAAATATAAAGTATGCGGCACTTTGTCGCATACAATAGCAATTATACATTGGATCATATTACGAAGCGGGGTCACTAGCCTCTCTAGCTGACCGTTTATGCTTTCGCTACACATCCAACGCTCAGCCCGAGCGCATTTCATGAGCAACATACACACTAGCACACAATCACCACTGACGTGCTAATGTTGCTATTGAAATACATTACACTACATAATACAATACATAAGACTTTTTACCGTATTTTCCTTAGAAGTAATTAATGTAAAAACGCAAAATACATTTTCACAAAATTTTAGAAAATATAATAGTGTAGTATAGTATAGTTTGAAACGAATAATTAACAAAAGTATTGTAAAAGCATCCGCCAACTTTCCGCAGTTGAGTGAAACAAAATTTTTGAAAAAGGTTTTATTTTAATTTATACAAAGTTTACATAAAATTTTGAAAGTAGGCATGGAGTTAATCAGAAAAAACTTATACCTCGCTCCTACAACCATAAAACCACTATTACATCAAGCCGTCCTGCGCTTGCGTCTCAAATAATTTCCTTAATGAACTTTGAAAATGACTTAACTTTGTCCATTACATTTTTTACCCGCATTAGCATCCGAGACGAGCGGATTAAGCGAAATTTGTGAAACATCTCAGAAAGAGTTCTCAGTTAAGAGTAATTGATGTGTTAACTTGTTTCATTTATAAATGTTTCATTATTTTGTCCTTTTTAAAAATGCTTTTATAGTTTGTGCAAAGTGCCTTCTGTTGCGCAGCGGCGTCTGATCCGTGTTGCTGTTATTGTTAGTTTTGATTATTTTGTTTTGGCGCTCCCCTGTGTATAAAATTGCGGCTTGCGTTGGTCGTGTCCAGTATGCACCGACAAGCAAGTTGATTTCTCCATAATTTGTAATTCTGTGAGAAATCGATTTTTAAAACTTAATAATATGGCTATTCAGCTCTCGAGTACCTTTGAGTCGACTTTCTCTACTTAATCGCCGGCTATTTTCATTTGCCTTATCAGTCTGTTCAAAAACCTACATTTATTTTATCCATTTTTGTTAATATACATTTATCCCCATTGTTTTCATTATCGCCATATCAAAGCGATTGTCCAAATATTACCCCTTTATTATCCCCCGCAGTAATTCCAGTACAACCTGCCGTCAGCTTCTTTACGCAAAGGTGGCCCCTACTTTGACTGTTGTTGCCCTTCGAAGTTAAGTTATTAGGTCTCGACTTTCGTCTGACACTACATAATACACCACAAAATTTACCACCTTTCATTTACAATATTCAGTTTATGATATATATTTTAAATTTAATATTTTAACTTAAGAAGTTGAAGAGGTAGGTTGTATTTTTCATATTTGTATGGTTATTGCCATTAATTAAAGTAATTAAAGTCTGACACCAGGCCAGAATTTTTTTGTAACTATCTTAAAACAATGCGAATAAAATTAGATAAAAATAACCAAGCCGATAACTAATGAATACAATGTCAGCGTGGATATAAAAAACCTTATACTGTGTTCCATGACATTATCGGCACCATCGATATTTTTCGTACTTGATTGCGTTCGTTATTATCGGCCACGCAGATATCTTTTTGTCATATTGTCTGAGTATAGGGGGTGAAGTCGGGCACTTAGTGGTGCCCAATTAATCGAAGAGTAGCAACGCAATGCTAAACCACAACACCGAAAGGTGAATGAAAGAAAGTGATTACGACTGTCCATTCGATTCGCTCCTAATGAGAGTAGAAGGAGAGCGGATCATATGCCCTTGAAAATGCTTATGGGTAGCAGGGTACCGAAGATCTCAGTGTATGAGTAGTCAAAACAGGGATAAGTGTCGATTGCTGCCCATAACACAATTGATGTTGCCTGCTTTCCTCTTGATAAACGAGCGAGGCCTGATAGGGATCCCTGGTTCTCAAGTGAACTTATGAGGTTAGGAAATGTGAAGTCGAGGTGTTATAAAAAGTTTAAGAAATCGAATGGAAATCACTCTGATTTTTCTCTCATTATCCAGTTGTCCAATTAAATTTTTCCACGCAAAATTCCATATGTTATAAGGATTAACTTCGGCGTTGTCGCCTTCAATTTTCATATAATCCTAAGCAACTTTTTAACTTTGTCAATTCGCTTAAGATTGCAGATGAGAGCGCGAACCCTGATTCAGGCATAACCGATCTGTTCGCAAATTTGTGTAAAACTACCTACTTCAGGAATAATGAAAATCAGCTTTATCCTTATCAGTTGCAGAGGTCAAACTCTTTTATTTGTTTTTCAAGATATTTTGACCAAACTCGACATTTATTAGTAAAATCGGTACACTATATCATATAGCTGCCATTGACAGGATCGGTCGAAAATTAAGTTGTTGTATGAAAAACCATTTTAATTTTCAAGATATTTTGACCAAGCTCGACATTTATTAGTTTTACTATACACCTCAGATATTCTATTAAGATCGGACCATAGGAACGATCGGTAGATTATTTAAATATTGGTTGATTATTTAATTATTGTATATAAAACATTTTGTTTTTCAAGAAACTCGGCATTTATTAGTTTTACTATACTCCTCATGTATATGAAAAATCCTATTAAGATCGGACCGATATATAATATAGCTGCCATAGGAATAATTGGTCGAGTATTAAGTTGTACGAAAAACCTTTTTGTTTATCAAGATATGTTGACCAAACCCCCATTCATTAGCTTTACTATACTCCTCATATATAGGCAAAATCATATTAAGATCGGACCACTATATCATATAGCTGCCATTGGTACGATCGGTCGAAAATTAAGTTTTTGTGTGAAAAGACATTTTGTTTAGTAAGATATCTTGACTAAACTCGGCATTTATTAGTTTTACTATACTCTTCATATATATGCTAAATGCTGTTAAGATCGGACCACTATGTCTTATATCTGCCATGGGAGTCGAAAACTAGGTTTTTGGTTTACCCTTTTTGTTTATCAACATATCTTGCCCAAACTCGGCATTATAAGCATTATGAAAAGGTTGGGTCAGCAAGGCTATTAGATCTTCGGCGTGCCGATGATAGCCTTTCTTTCTCGTTTAGTATTTTTTATTATTTGTTTTCTTATTTAATGTTCATTTCGTGTCGTACGCGCCCCTCGTTCGGTTTTTTTTTTATTTTATGAGTCGGCGTCACTTCACGTTCTCGTCTTTCTTTCATAAAGCCCAAACTTGACTTTTTAAAAAATACTTATTTAATGCTTATTTCACTATTGCTTTACGAAACTAGTTTTTGTGGCTTCTTAAAAATTGCATCACAATGTGCTTACAAAGAAAACACTTAAATTTCCTGTTCCATCTTAATTTCGTCTACTAATTGAATATATGTATGTATAATAATAACAAGGACCCAAGTATTGTAGTCAGCGGCTTTCGTCTTAATCCGAAAAATAAACCTTCTACACATAAGACTTTTAACCTGATTTTCCTTTCAGGTAGATAATTAACAAAAATATTGTAAGCATCCGGTAATTTTCCGCAGGTGAGTGAGCGAAATGTGTAAAACATCTCAGAATGAGTTCTCAACCAAGAGTGATAGATGTGTTATACTTGTTTCATATATAAATGGTCGTGTCCAGCATGCCTTAACATAAAACTTAATAATGTGGCTATATCCAAGCGATTGTCCAAATATAACCCCTTTAGTATCCGCCGCAGTAGTCCCACTAAACCCTGTAGTTGAACCTGCCCCATTCACTGAAACTGCTTCCGCACCGTCAGCTTCTTGACGCAAAGGTGGACCTGCGCGCAATCTAGCTCATCTTGTAAAAAGCAATCTCGGTGCCTCTCTGACCCCATCAACTCAGGCTTAGCAGCTCCTACTTTGACTGTTGTTGCCCTTCGAAGGTAAGTTTTTAGGTCTCCACCTTACTTAGTTTACCACAAAATTTTCCATTTACCATTTGCAATATTTAGTTTATGATATATAATGAACACAGCAGGCGTGTGCACTAACGTAATTTTGAGAAATTAGTTAACCATTTTAACTATAAATAGGTATTCTTAAGTAAATAATTATTTTAAAGTTGTAACCTTATTGTTACGTGCGTCTGAAAATGGCAGATGATGAAGATAAGAAAGAAGTTGATGAGGTTGTATTTGTAGGTTCTATTTTTCACAGTTTTAAGGGTATTGCCATTAATTTAAGTTATTTAAGTCTGACACCAGGCCTGATTTTTTTTGAACTATCCTAACAAAACAATGCGATTAAAATTAGATAAATGGACTAAGCTGATAACAACTAATGAATACAAGGTGAGCTTGATTATAAAAAGACAGAATTTGTTTCATTACATTATCGGCAGCATCGATATTTTGCGTACTTGATTGCGTTCATTATTATCGCCGCCGATATCTTTTTGTCATATTGTCTGAGTATCGGGGTTGAAGTCGGGCACAATAGTGGCGCCCAATTAATCACCTATTATTGGTAGCAAGGGACCGAAAATCTTAGTGGGTGGGTAGCCAAACGAGGGATAAGTGTCGTTTGCTGCCACAACAAAAGGGAAGTCTCTGCGCAAAAACATCACTGGCAGCTATAAAGATATCTTAACCAAGCTCGGCATTTATTAGTTTTACCATGCTCCTCATATATAGGCAAAATCTTAATGAAAGTTTGCAGAACTCCCTCTTTCTGTTGCACGCAGCACATATGTCAAAACCAGCTAGATCGGACCACTATATCATATAGCTGCCATAGGAACGATCGGTCGAAAATTAAGTTGTTGTATGAAAAAACATTGTTTTTCAAGATATCTAGACCAAAATCGGCATTTATTACTTTATATATACTCATATATAGGCAAAATCCTATTAGGATCGGACCACTATATCATGTATCTGCCATAAGAACGATCGGTCAAAAATTAAGTTGTTGTATGAAAAAACATTTTAATTTTTCAAGGTATTTATTAGTTTTACTCTACTTTTCATATATAGGCAAAATCATATTAAGATCGGAAAACTATATCATTTAGCTGCCGAGCCGAGGCGGCCAGACGATGGCTCAAAATTCTAAGTTTGGATGGATACTTTCTGGCACATGCACGCAATAGGAATCATTGCAATCTGCATTTAATATTTACTTAATATTCCGTCTTATAATACCCTCTATTAGGGAATAAAAAGAAGCTATACTGTCTAATTTTCATAATGATGATGACATATGATCCATCACACAGGCATTACAAAAACCTTCAAAAGCAACTAAGCACACTAAGACCCCGTTAACAATAAGTGCAACAGCTACAAATGATTTCGACAGAGTGATAGTGGACACCATTGGTCCACAAAGAACATCAGAAAATGGCAATGAATATGCAGTCACACTAAATATCTAGTTGCCATGCCTATAGCAAACAAAAGCTCAAACACTGTCGCTAATGCTGTATTTTAGTCTTTTATTCTAAATAACGGTCTAATGAAGACATTCATTAGGGACATGTGAACAGAATATTAGAATTCAATCATAAACGACTCGCTCAAGTATCTGAATAAGCCAGGCAGGCACATTCCATAACATGAATGATGGCATATCAAAATAGAGGCCGACCATACAACAGAGGCGGCTACAATAATAATTGAAATAATAAATGAATTATTATAATTAAAGGACTTTAGTTATTTAAGTTAAATGATATAGCTAAGTTTATTGTCTGTGTAAATTGTCTTGTCTTGGTGATGGTTGACTCTCAACTCCATACTCGATATATCTAGTGACTTGCATTGATTGGTGTGTTCCTTATAACTACATGGTTAGTTCATCGACTAGCAGCGACACCTAGTGATGAAATATACTTGTTTAGTATCGAACAAGCAATATTATTACACGCTTTTTTATTTTAAGTGATATTGATGTTTACATTAGAGTTTTATCTGAAACGGACATTTCGGTGGCTCTTTTTGAAGTAGCTTCATTTTGATTGTTTCGTGTGAATTTTGCACAAATTTCACAAGATTTAACGATCTCCTTCATTTGACCGTTCATGTTAGGCCAATAATAAAGAACTCTTGCACGTGAAAGAGTTTTTTCAATTCCCAAATGTGGTGCATGTAACCACTTACATACTTTTTTCTGTAACTCTGATGGAATTACGAGTCAATGATCACGAAAAAGTAAGCCATTCTCAAAGTGCAGTTCGTTTTTTACCCTATGAAATTATCGCCCCAGAAATTATCGCCCCTTATTACTATCTACGTGCACAACAGATTTCGCCATGCACAATTCTTTTCGCGTACTATATAAAAATTATAATAGTTTGCATCACGTTTTCTCTACCGAACTGTCTCTACGCCTAATAAAATCGTTGCTTTCAGGATACCTTCGGGAAGTCGCTGACCATTCCCAGCTATTAGCAGGGGCATAGCTTGCTGGACAGGCTGAAAAATTTTCCCCCACCGGGTCGGTAATTTCCCATTACTTTTCTCTTTGTCCTATCTACTTAACACTCTTTATCTAACTTACATTGCTTTACTTTATTAACAATCTTCTTACTTTCTTTTTTTCCTATTTATTGTATTTTTTTTATTAATATAGCAAATTAATATTATTTTTAAAGTTACTTGATCACTTTTTTCCTACTTACAACCTTCTGCTTAGATGTAGGCTCTAATAGCGTCACTGACAAAATTAGCTGTGAAAAGGGGCACAGCTGGCCGGACTGGCAAATAAAACACCTCCTCCTATACAATCTTTTGAATAATGAGGAAGACACTCGTTTTGTCGACCATTAATAAATAAATAAATAAATAAAATAAAATATATATATGAAAAACCTGGCTCAGATTGTACAGTAGGTGACAATTTGGCCAACCGTTCTCTTTATATCGAAAAATTTTCAAAAAAATTTCATCACGTTTAATGGTGGAACGGTATAAATCATAATCATCTCTGGATATCTCACAAGTGAGAAACATTCGCTGAAGTCGCATTGTCACATCATCTATATCACGCCTGACTAATGTTTCCACCGCTTTCGCCGGTAAATTCACGTCCATTCAACAAATAATAAAATCGTTGATATACGAAAACAATAGCCAACAACTCCTTTTCGCCTATGCTACTGGGTGTGTGTTTTGAACAATTACACACCTCAGTCCATCCTTTGATGCATCCGTTTGCACAATGGCAGGCAACTTTGAATCATAAATAGCCAATACCGGCTCAGATGTTACGATACTAAGGAAGTTTTTAAACTCCAACTCATGATTTTCCGTCCATTCAAATTCCACATCATTTCGAGTTAAATTATGCAATGCTGCCGATAGCCTCGACAAATGTAGAGTTAATTTTGCCATACCCAAAAATCTTAACATCCGCTTAACTTTCAGATTTTTTCACTTTGTAGATCGCGTCGCGATATTTTAGAGCCGCCTTAATTTTCCCTTCCGACAAAATATTTTCCATAAATTTAACCTCGCTCTTTCAATTACTTTATCCATAATACAATCGTGTTCCTTTTCCCGTCTCCGCGCAAATACCCATATCATCGAAATAAATGATGACCCAATCAATGTCTCCAAGCACTCTGATCATTTCATAAACGTTGTTAAATCGGTGCATGCTTTATCCAATTCCGTTTGCCAATAGCCGCTTATTAAATCGAGAACTGAAAATACAAGCTTATTTGCTAGACCCGATGTTAAATCATCAATCGTCGGGATCAGAAAATGTTCGCGTTTTATAAATTCATTAGTGGTTTTGGATCTAAATAAATTCGAAGCAAATCTGATTTCGGTTCTTTGACTATTTGCAAATTATTGACCCGGTCAGTTGGGTAATCAATAGGTGTAATGATTCCATCCTGTACCATTTTCCACAATTGACATTTCAGTCTCTCCAATAAACAATTCGGTATCCGTTTTTATAGTAAAGGACTGGCGAACGTTGTGAGGCGGCTACTTAGGTCCGCCGCCCCCAAGTTTTCTTGGCGAGGAGTCATCGTTCCCATGGCCAAATCACGGCGAGGAGCCGTTGGCGGGATTAGATATATAAGAGGCAAGAAGCCGCCAATGTTACAAATAGCAATTGTATTAGTTATATAAGAGGCAAGGAGCCGATAATATTATAAGCCGCAGTGTATTAATTATATTTTAATCATCAATTATATTAGTGAGTAGATAGGCAAGGAGCCACAAAAGTTATAGGAGCGAATTTGAATTTAACCGCCGGCCGCCGCTGCAACCGTGAGTTGTTGATCGGTTGCTCAACACCACATTCGAGTGCGCAACTCTGATTCGGCGGCGAAGAGCAAAAGCTCCGAAGCGAAGTTGAGCGGCCGAGGCAAGCGCATGGCTTGCCGGCGATCGCGCCGACACTTTGGAACGAACGCTAAGAGTGAGTAGACGTGCGTTGTGCGACGAAGTGAATAAAGTGCATATGCTATAATTATCGAGAAGAAACCGGACAATTCTTTGTTTTCTGGTGACCTAGCCTACCTTAACATCGGAATTAACCGGTGTTCGACCTAACCTCGATTAGGAGCATGTGGTACGGGATTGTGGCCCCGGGGTGGGCATTACCGGCCCGATAGAATAGTGGTAGTTTGGGTAGTGGAGTTGGTGCGAGGCCACGGCCCGCTAGTGGAGCTGGTGCGAGGCTACGGTCTGCTAGTGTAGTTGGCGCGAGGCTCCGGGCCGATAGAGTAATGGTACGAGGCCACGGCCCGATAGCGAGTTTGAGTAGTGGAGTTGGCGCGAGGCCACGGCCCGCTAGAGCAGTTGGCGCGGGGCCACGGGCCGCTAGAGTAGTTGGTGCGAGGCCACGGCCCGCTAGTGTAGTTGGTACGAGGCCACGGCCCGGTAGTGTAGGCGTGCGGAAATAGAGCTTGGTCTGGTCAGGATACTCGCCCCCTTCCCCCTTAAGCCCTCTCTCACAGCGAAATTATAGATATCTTGTAACTCGCTAGACCTGGTAAGACTGAGAGTTATACCCCGGCCATTAGTATCTTTACAACGTTCCCGGAAATTTCCCCAAACCTTCAAAGTCATCACAATTGCTTTGCAAAAATTCCCCTTCTTTTTGCGGCAAACAAGCGACAGACCCTACGTCAACTCGCTTAACCAATCCAAATCGTTCACATGACTTATGACCCAGTATTTGTTTACATATGTCATCGACAACAATAGTGAGAAGACTGTTCCATTTTTGACATTCGATCAACGCAGTTTAATTTAACTGTCCCAAGCACATTTACTTTATTTCCGTTATAATCATAGACAAAAAAAAATTAATATTTTTGCTTACCAATTTTGTT